GCAATCAAATACACCCTAAGCCCCAAAGTTATTGGATTGAATTGTAAATCAAGTAATATTTTCCGACAACTAACTCGATGTCTATGAACATTAATAAGTTAAACTAACGTGCTTCGTTAACCAATAGAAATAGGAAAGTTTCTCCATTTTTTTCATAGAAAATAGCTATGATTATCTGTGTATATACAATAAGTTCCAAAAATAAAAAATAAAAAATAGCTAGGATTAGTCATCAAATCTGAGATAGGCTCGTCTCTCCCGAAGCTTTCTTGAGGGTCTCATTCTCATTTGTACCAAGGAAGAATGAACGTGATTTTTGAAAAATTACCGCATTTAGCACCCCCATTTTAAGAAAAACTTGATATTCTTTTTATAATGTAAAAATAACTGATTTTCCTTTTTTGTCTTTTTGGTTAACTGATCTCATCATCACTGTCGAGGGCGGGCGGAGCTAAAAAAAATTTATTGACACGTGTACAAAATCTTTTTTTTTTTAAGAAAAATTCAATTATACCAATTTCAATTTAAGAAAAATTCAATTATAACAATTTCAAACTTAGATCCCAAATATACTAAAATCAACTACTACGTCTAACTTTACAAGTTTTTGGACTCTAAACTATTAGCATCGAGTTCAAATCTGTAACAAGCATAGTTCATTTAAAGCAAAGCAAAAAGATCCAAATCGATAAATGAAGGTGACAAATTATTGCCTTAAAAATTTTAGTTCAAAATTGTAGGTTAAATTCACGCCTCTTTAAAAAATAAAAAATAAAAAATAAAAAATAAAAAAATCTTGGCTCTACCGCTGAACCCATACAAATAACAAGATGACAAATTTAAATTGGTTAACAAGAAGCTTTATGGTGCAACATTCCACACACACACGAAAAAGCACCTCATGTCTTAACATACGCAATTACCAAATAATATTGTATCTCCTCCCCTTCATAGAGTGAATATCTCAAGCATAAACTTATTTACCGATTTTCTTTCTAGATTGTGTTAATCTATCTTTGGGGGTAAAAAAAAAATGTTTCTAACTCCATAATTTCTATCTTGAGACTTAAAATAAAAATCATACATGGCTTCTACAGTTCATTTACAGCATTCTCTGTTCCTTGTAAGCGGTCTGCAGATGATAAACATGGGATCTTAAATCTTCTTGCAGCTGACCAATGGCGCCGACACTTTCGACACCACATCGTCCTGAATCCGCTTTTTCCTTTTTATTTTCACACCCCATGTTCACTACTTTCAGCATATGCATCAGAGAGAGGAAACACATTTCATCTCGAAATGTGCAATAGAGAGAAGTAGACTCCAAAGAGTGTGCACGCATAAGAATGCCTGTCTTAAAGATTTCAGCAACACTAAATACAAATTACACAACATATTCTTCATCTGTCCTCTCTAGAAAAATGAATGTGAGAAATAGAGAGAGAAAGAGATGAGAGTTTACACAGGACCTGACTATCCGACCAACCTCTCCTGCAAGATTTGGCCGAGCTTCACGTATAGAGCGTGCTGCTCCTCGAGAGTAAGGTTCATCAATATCTAAAATGAAGAAAAACATTTATATGTTATCATCCACTTTCATATACAGATCAACATAAGACGGTGGTAATGGATGGGAGAAAAGACAATACCTGGTCTAAGATCGTCTCGACAGAAACGCCTTGAGCCACAACAAATGACTGATGATAGATGTATGCAAATACAGCCATTACCATCTACATGGCATTCAGCACAGCGGTTATATACATGCAAAATTGGATGGTAAAATCTTTCTAATATGAAGTAACTCAATTAAAGTACCCAAAGTGATCGACCATACAGAAGCATCTCAAGCATATTAAGCACCAGCTACAGGAATTAACATATCAACACTACCCAAAGCAATAAGGAAAGATAAGCAAATCTGAAAGAGTATCTTGATTAAGATTTATAAAAAAAATATACAAGTTTATCCTGTGAAATACAGTTTGGGGTTTCAGGTTTAGATTACTATCTTAGTTCTCCTTTGTTAAAACAAAAAAAAATTCTATCTTAACTGCGATGAGTTTTATTTGTGAATACTTTTGTATTGCGTTTCTGGTTAAGTGGGAACTTGGGATTGCCTATCAATGAGAAGCTTGATTATGGTGCGCACTTTCATACTTTGGTTGATGAATATTCTCTTTCTTGATTTTCTCTCCCTCTAATTCTCCCATTCTTTTCTCTTTCCTCTACAAACCTCCCGTTCTTTCTTTTCTGTCTCTTTCTCCCTAAGGTTCTTCATCACCCGCCTTTACTTAACCTCATCAAAGTCAAAGTTGCAGCGACAAATTACGAAAATTGCTCATGTTCATTATGGAATGTGGATTTGAACAAGAGCAATTTTCGTAATTTGTCAACAAAAACCATTACTAAATAACAGATAAGAGAGAATACTCAAAAAAGCTGCTTGTACCAGATATATTACTAGGTTAAAAGGAACTTCTGAGGTTTAAAACTTCAATAAAGCTTACCTGACAATCCATTCTATCAGTAATTCCACCATGTCCGGGGATACTATCACCAAAATCCTGTTGCAGAGAAATATAGTGAAATTACTGTTTACGTATTGGAAATTCACCATTCACGTTAGCCAAAATTAGAATAGTATTGGAAACAGACCTTGATTTTGAAAGCTCTCTTGAAACCACTAGCAAAGAAGCCCCCAAAAGGTGCAATTATTGACGCAAACAGACCTAGACAAAGAGCGTGCCATTGAACTGGTAATACAGAGAATTCTTTCCAAGGAAACTGCAAGGAACAACATAAAGATACAACGGGTTATCTTATAAAGATTCAACCGCGATATGTCATGAATAAGTGGAGATAAGCTTTTAAAGCATCATAGCTTTAGCGGCAGATGAAGAAACAATTATCTATCCTTTACTAGCAGAAAAAATCTGCAGATTGGCCAGCGTAAATTCAATTATAAAATAATATAAAAATATGAAAATCTTTAGGACTCAAAGAGAAGCTTTCGCAAAGAAAAACACACAACACCAGAACAACATGAAAATCTCAGATCAAAAACATGAAAGGAGGAAATGAAAACATTTGAAGGCTGGTTTACGACCAATGATTAAAGTAACACTTTCATCAAAACCATTCGTGAAAACAAAATATAAACATGGACTCTTGCCACCTCAACTGTTACAAAAACATATGTTAACAGACTGAGTTGATAACAATTAATCACTGCACTAAAAGCCTACCTCTGCAGGCAGTTCGTTGTAAGGAATGTGATTAATCTTTACTTTTAATAATGACATAATTACACGAGTAAACCAGATATACTGAACTATAAATTCATTCTTAGTTAAAGTCAATATTTGGACGAAAAAGTATGATATGATGACATTTGAAAGTGAATGAACATATAATTTTAAGATTTGTACTGCAGTCTTACTGGGTTTTTTCCCTTTTGTTTTTTAACACTCAAAAGTGCAAACGTATAAATAAACGTCACATTCAAGGACAAGAACACTAGCGGAATTTTAAGACTCGTAATAAAACCTGTTACATTAGACTCCTCTAATCTAAGAATACAAGAAAAAGACTCATAATTTAAAGCATGGAATATCATAAAGCAAAGGCATTGAGAGATTGAGTAAACGACTTCATACAATACAGGCTCACTCTACTCACCCACTGAGGAATCCATCCAGTTAATCTATAATGCTCCGGTTTAAACAATGGACCAGGATCACATTCAAGCCAACCAGTTGACAAATCCTGCAAGTAAATCCTCATTTTTTTGGATGTAAGGCAAAAAAAAAAAAACAACTTAACTTCATCAAAAGTGTTACCTTCCTCGGGCATGTTAGCCATGGAAAACGACCCAATATGTTTGCTAGCTGTACAGACACATGAAAAATATTTTTGTTTATGAAACTCCACTTCCACAAAAAAAAAAAAAAAAAAAAAAAAAAAAAAAAAAAAAATCACTTAGACAACCTATATTCGAGTTCATGTAACATATTAACATAAGATTCAAGCATGATAAGCAAATTCAGATGATACCCCACCCAGGCCAATTCAAAATAATCATAATAAATGTAGGTCAACGAAGTTTTAAGAAGACAATTAATTCTAAGATCAATTTCCTCTTCAAGTTGTAATCACTACTACCAGTGAATAGGAGAGAGGAACAGCATAAAACAAAAGACTTCAACATCAAGTGGATAAACAAAACTAAGGAGCAAGTGTGAAATGGATGATCAGAGATGCAGCTTTCATCGCCAACTCCCAAGCACCATAAACACGAAGGAACAATCCTCCAATTATACCTAACTGTAACACTGTTTACTTTTGTAACATAATGCTTCTTAAATCTAATCAGGAATATATGCACACAAGAAAAAAAAAAAAAAAAAAAAAAAAAAAAAGAAGAGAGAGAGAGAGAAAAGAAATGTGTTTTATCACCATCAACAAAAGAATGCTCACCAAAAATGCCGAGATGATAGTTGTAAAAGATGCTCCAATAAATCCCTCCCAAGTTTTCTTTGGAGATAGTTTGATTAGAGGGGTTCTTCCAAAGAAGAAACCAAAGAAATATGCACCAATATCGTTGATAACAATAAGCGATGCAGGAAGAAGAAACCTGCATTCACGTCTAACTGTATCAGGAAAAAGAAATGAAATGTGAATACAAAGACGAGAAAACCATGTAAAGTGCCAACTCCTTGAAATAAAAATCTTGAAAAGGTAAATAATCAGTGTCTCACTTGAAGTAATTATCATACATTACATAAACTGTATCAGCCACAATGTGCAACTATCTTCTTATTTATTTTTGTAGCAAAAAAAAAAAAAAAAAAAACTTTTATTTTTTTTATTTTTTTTTCATTGTTCCCCTGAATAAAAGCTAACTTTTTCTTTTTCATTGCTATCCAGAAATCAATGAACCCTCTTTAGCCAATTCAAGTCCAAAACTGGATGCCCTAGAACCCAACAGCTTGGGGGGCATGGAAACTGTGGTCATTTACTGCGTATGTGGCATTGACTAGAGGAATTGAATTTCAGTCCGTAAGGAAGCAAACCACAAGGCTTCTTAACCGACAACTCATGTTAAGGAAAAACAAAGTTATAAAATAATATCATATGGCATTTTGTAATATACTCTTTTCCAGAGTAGATCCCAGATGATTTCTAGCAGTAACTTGTCCAAGGTCATAATAAGAGGAATACATGGAAGAATAAAGTTCGACAAATCACATGAGAAGAATGCATTTAAATGCTCCTTATAAGATGGCAGAGGGCCCGATGGTTGTACAAGACAAGTTTCAAGCATAGTTCAAAATCAAAATCTGGTAGAGGTAAACAACTAGTATTCTGTGATAAAGCAAAACTTAAATTAAGAGAAAAGGAAGTATTCTTAATCTACGATAGAAGTATAGGAGGAGAGGACACTGAAAACCAAGGATACTCCATGACCCCCTTAGATAAGGCTTAACCAATGTAAAGGCATATTATTGGAATCAAACTTGAGCAACGGAAATAAAAGTCTGTTATTATAGTCAATTGATGACTTAGGAAGATCCAAGAAAGGATTGCTTTACTTGAGTAGATTGAGTTACCAGAAGATTCCTTCAAAAATATTGGCTACGGTGAAGGAGGACTGCGTAAACACAATGATCAGAATCATGTGTGTCCATGAATACTGGCCAAATTGATACTTGTACATCTTCTTCTTTAACGTAAGGATGAACCACATAAAACCTGAGACAGATTGTAGAAAAAACAACAATAATTAAAAAAAAAAAATCAGTATAAGCTGCTAGAATTTGACATTAAGAAAAAGTTGAGGAAAAATCTGAACAAACGAAATTGGATGAAAAGAAAACATCCTACAAATAAGACATGTAACACTAACCTGCGATGTACAAGAAGTAACAAATAACCATATGATACTTGATAAGGCTGCTAACAAGCTGATATAGGAACTTGTCAGAAGTTACAGTATTGACAAGCCGCAGGCTAAGAATGCGACCGTACACAAACAGCATCACAGTGAAGAAAAAGTGCCTGAGCACACAAGCAAGCAAAACATAAAACGAATAAAACGTGTCATGAAAGAATCATCCAAAAATTTGCCCATTACTGCTATTGAAGAAACACACATCAATTATCATCGTGACCATTAATACTTAACCAGTTTAGCAGCCTAAACCCCGGGAGTTGCCTGTCTTCGTGCGCTTTCCTGAGCAGATTGAACAGCTCTTTTGCCATAAATATTTGGATAACAACAACCATCGCTGTTATATACAGATGGCCCATATAAATGATTAAGGCAAAGCCCCCAATCATCCATACTGAAGAGTATGTCCGAATCAACATTGACTTGTATTTACCGCGATCATCAACAAGCATTTGGCTTCCATTTGCTTTACTAACATCTGGAACAACCTAAAAAGCCAAACCCATTTCATGTTAGCAAAGACACTGCATCATAACATGCTATTTAAATTGGTATCTAGCTTCTAGGTCTCAAAATATCAACCTAAAAAGTCAAACCCATTTCATGTTAGAAAGATTTTTTTTTTTTTATCTTTTTTTATATATTTTTTTAAGTCGAACCCGGTACTCGATAGATAATTTAAAAAAAAATTAAAAAAAAAAACTCACAACCTACTAAATATTTCATGTTGGAGAAGACAGTGCAAACATTTTTAGGGAAATTTCCAAACAAACAATTCATCTTTCAATTTCTTATTTTTACTCTGTTCAATTTTACGTATTCCTCTATCCGTAGAGTAGATTGAATGTACAAAAATGGTTTCATACAAAGCCAAATGAGAAAGAACTGTTTCCAAATTGAAAAGAGAATGAAAATTATAAAATAAAATAAAAAATTAGCTTACTAACCTCATTTGAACGCCTCCGATGTCGAATCCGACCGGTTGGCGTTGACGGGATAGCAGTATTACCATCTTTTTGCATGATTACCCTAAACTTTTACTCGCTCAATAAGAAAAAAAGCATATATCTGATACAGGAAAATTGCAAAATTAAACACAAATAATAAATAATACAGCGGACAAGACGTCTAGAAGTTGAATCGAATGAGTTTGTTTAGAGAAAATAATTAGTCAAGAATAAGAACAGAAGGTATACATACATACCAATACATATCTATGTATATATATGTATATATATATATATATATGTGTGTGTATCTATCTATATATATATATATATATATATAGGAACACACTTGTTCTTAGAAAGCTTAGAAATGTAACTTCAACATTATAAGCAAGTTCGTTATGCAATCATGGAAGACTCTATACCAAAGCAATTCGGAAAAGAAATAATAAAAGTAGGAAAAAAGAGTATGATATATAGAACAAACAAGAAATCAATTAAATGAATAAAAGGATGGAAATTATTCTATATTTTCGTATCATACAACTACACAAAATCACAAATTAATTAGAAAAGGAGGGATCAAAAACCCGTGTAATTGGTGGTGGAGCGACGGCGGCAGAAGGCGGTGAAGAGAGAGAGAGAGAGAGAGGAAGCGGTGCCGCGGTGGTAAGAAGCTCAAAGGGTGAGAAGAAAGGGAGGGAGGGAAGAACAAGGAACAGAAAAATAATTAAAATGCTCTGGGGCAAAAAATTATGTGATGATTTTTTTTTTTTTTTAGAAGAGTTATTTGATGAAATTATTAGTTTTTTGAATTACATCGAATTGATTATTAGTTTATTCTTATTAGTATTTTGAAATACATTGACTTGATTATTAGTACATTGAATTTTAATTATTTCTTTTAATTTAAATTTGCTAAAAGAATTCTAGTGATGATTTCTTAGAAAGAAGAAATTACTAAAAATTTTCTTCTGTCTTGTTTTGTTTTCTAAAATCACAATTTTTTTTTTAAAAGTCAATTCCTAAATTTCTTTTTTTTTTAAAAAAAAACTTGGGATAAATTTAAACTGAATATTCTTGAGGTTGTAAGATTGCTCTGACAATAATTCTATATATCTATTTTAAAATTGATCTGGTGTTGCTTGTTAGTTCCTAAATTTCTCTTACCCTCTTTTTTTTTTTTTTTTTGGGTTTCTCCCTAACTTGATCTGGTGTTGCTTGTTAGTCACTTATATGAGTTTTTTTTTTTTTCCTTTTGCTTGAAAAGGTTTTGCCTCATTCGTTTCGCTGATTCGAGTTTAAAATTCGAGTTTTGCTACAGTAAAAAGCTCTTACAAACAGTCACATCTAACTTTTTTGCTACAGTAAAAAGCTCTCACATAAAATCATATCTCAACTCGAATTCTAAACTCGAATCAGCGAAACGAACGAGATTATGAGTTGGAAACTCGGCCCCGTTCACTTCGCTGATTCGAGTTTAGAATTTGAGTTTTTCTACAGTAAAAAGCTCTCATAAACAATCACATCTACCTTTTTTACTGTTTTTTACTACAGTAAAAAGCTCTCACATAAAGTCACATCTCAACTCGAATTCTAAACTCGAATCAGCGAAGTGAACAGGGTACCAATCACAGATGCAGCTAAATAGGGCAGCAGCCTGTGGTACGTGCCAAGGTAACACCTGCACACTGATGCAACCACGATGTTGTGAGCAGATTTATGGGCGTGGATCGGGGTGCATACGCGCAACGACGGTCCGTTTAGTAAGAGGGATGAACGAAAAGAATAATAGATAGAGTAGAAGGAAAGGAAGAATTGTAAGTTTGTTTAAAATTGTTTGGTATGATTAGAAATAAGAATGATAATGATACATTCTTTGTTTGATATGAGATGGAAAAGAATAAGGAATGGTTCGCTTTTATTAGTAAAAAGGACTATATTCATCTTTTATTAAATTTTATTTATCATTTCTTATTTTTATTAAAAATTAAGAATATTAGGCAAAAAAATTAACAAACACAAAATATTACTTTATTATTAAAAAAGAAATCATTATTGAAAAAAAAATAAGAGAAAGTGAGGTAAGTTAACTTAAAAACCATTATAAAGTGTATGTGTGAGTGTATAAATGTAATTTTATACACATAATATTATCCCCCATTCCTTTCCATCCAAACGTGGGGGAATTGGAATTTTGGTACGACGCAGGATTTTGAGACCTCTATTTTAGAGTTGTAAGTTTAGATCGGGTTAAATAAGACCAGCCTAAGTCCTGTCACTGTGGTCCGGCTTGGCCCTAACTTCCGGGCCTGGTCAGGTCAAGGTTTCAAGTTTGAATGTTTATTCGAACCGGGTCAACTCGACTCAGCATCCTCTTTTTTTAAAAAAATTTTAATGTGCTTTATAAATTTCTAGGCTGGATCAACCTGGACCGAACCTCCCTCCTTTAGGGCCCAATTTGAAATTTTTATTCTAAACCGAACGGCCCGAAATATCACCACTACCCTAGGCCAATCCTCTAAACTGACCAATCACCTCTACTAAATAAGAGATTGCCCTAATCCCTCTCTCACCTTCCCCCGTACCCTTTTCTTCCTTCACCCAATTCTTGCTACCAACATATCCTTAGGCGCTGTTTGGAAGTTAGATCTTGTGGAGGAAAAAAAACTGAAAAAAATACATCAAATAACATATTCTCATAATTATGTTTATAGCATATTAGTTACGATGTTAGATAAATAGCATTCTTAAGTTTTTGATATTTTATAGTATATATTTTGCCAATTTTTTCCTTCTGTTTTCCTATTTATTTATTTATTTATTTTTCCGTTTCTCTCTCCCTCTCTTTCACTCTCAATTTCTCTCCCCTCTCTCTCCCTCTCTTCTATTTTCCTATTTACTTGTGGCATATGAGCATGAAAGAAGGGACTTAATATAGTATGAATAGCTCATGCTTAATTGGTAGTGAGAGGGAAAACCATGCGACCTCTTTTGTGTTGGGAATATTGTATTGACTTAGAAAGTAATCATTAAAACATATAAGCAGCAGTGAGATGATGTTTTTTTTATATCAACTTAATTCAATTACATAAATAATAAATTCACGATACCTATTTTTTAACATATTTGTGGCACTTGGAGTGTCTTAGGTCCCGTTCATTTCACCGATTCGAGTTTAAAATTCGAGTTTTGTTACAGTAAAAAGTTCTAAGAAACAGTCACATCTAACTTTTTTGCTACAGTAAAAAGCTCTCACATAAAATTACATCTCAACTCGAATTAAAAACTCGAATCAGTGAACTAAACGGGCATTTAGATAGGATCACGAGTTAGAATGTATCCTAATAAACTATCAAAAAAACTATTAAGTCTATCAATGAATAGATGCCATCAATCGTGAGGGAATTAAGCATGTACATGAGTTAAAATATTATGGGCCTGTTCAATTCGCTGACTCGAGTTTTTAATTCGAGTTGAGATGTGATTTTATGTGAGAGTTTTTTACTGTAACAAAAATATTAGATGTGACTGTTTCTAAGAGCTTTTTACTGTAGTAAAATTTGAATTCTAAACTCAAATCAGTTAAACGAACGGCTTATATCACTTTGATAGGCCACGTAAAGTCTTAGGTCCGGTTTATTTCACCGATTCGAGTTTTGTTACAGTAAAAAGCTCTCAGAAACAGTCACATCTTTTTTTTTTGCTATAATAAAAAGCTCTCAAATAAAATCACATCTCAACTCGAATTAAAAACTTGAATCAGCAAAATAAACGAGCTCTTATTATCTCCGATGCATAACTGAGTGTGGTGGGTGGTCAATATTTTTCTTATGTGTCCATGGTTGTCTGTGATAAGGAATCTTGTATGGAAAGTGTTTTTATTTGGTACTTTCCATTGGCCAGATAGAAAACTCAGCGCATGGTGATATTATATGTGCTCTAAATTAAAAGTTTGCTATCTGCAAATTGTATTACAATTTGAACAAATCATAGATTAATACCCTAATAGCATTTGTGTTTGGATTTTTACTCTATATTATTGATTAATATCCTTTTGACTAATATTGTTATTTGACAAAAAATGATATTAATCAAGAGTAATGAGCAAAAATCCAGACTTATGCACTTTAAAAGATATTTATCTATTTTCTCCTATTTTTAATATATGTTGCAGTACTTGGAATGACCGTGGATCATAAACTATAGTTGTTAGAAATAGTGTCCTTAAAGTATGAGATATAATTTATATATTTTATAATTAATAAAATAAAGTGAATTCTCATTATTTTATGTGCATATATACATAAGTACAATTGAATACTTTATGAATATCACTGAAAATTCTATAATTATTTATGTTACCTTAAATATTGTATATAGATATTACATGCAAGAAAATAATAATCAAAATTTTCTCGCAATAAACCTAATAAAAGTTTTAGAATCTTTTATTAGAATAGTACTAAAATGGAAAAGGAGACAAATGCCCTTTAAAAGTGCATGGGTCAAGATTTTTACCTGTTATTCTTAATTAATAACCTTTTTAGTCAAATAACTATATTAGCATAAAGGTATTAATCAAGAATGATGAGTAAAAATCTAGACTCATGCACTCTTAATGGTAAATTCTATAATTTTCTCTTACTTTAAAAACATATCATTCTCATTAAGGATGAAACGATCTCATATGCATCGTTAATATGAAGAGATATTGAATAAATGTATTTTACATAATGAAATTATGTAAGACAAAGACAAGACACAGCTTGCTTTTCTAATAATTTTCGTATAGCATAAAAATTTAAATTGAGTCTACTAATGGTCATACATAGAATGTTTTTAATTCTGAGTCATTAGCAAACTCCTATTTATAGAATTTTGTCTTATGATTTACTAGTTATGGATTTTGAGATTGTTGTATCATATCCCTTGTATCTTGGAGACCTAATAAAATAGGTAGTCAAGAATGTTAATTTACGAGATGAAATCCATTCGTTCAAGTGCAAAGTAGATAAATAACTCTCTTGAGTATTAATTTAGTCTTGAATAGTAAGAGCACCCAATTTGTAATTAATTTCATAAATATATTATTCATTAGTGAATAAAAAGTACTTAAGGATAAAAATATAACTAGAGAAGTTAACAGATTTTTACCTAACTTTAATTATAAAATAAGGAGCAATCTATATGTAATAGCTATATTAAATGGACGTTTCACATTCTTAGATGTAATTAAGTATTTATCATTAGGAATTTAGGAGGCCTAACTTTGCACTTATATTGTTGGCCAATTTTTAAAAATATTCCTTGAAATGGAGTCCTTTTTATTTTTATCCCTTAATATTAGTCTATATATTTTTTATTTTTTAGATTAAAATTAGTCAAAGACTAAATTTTTTAAAAAATATATATTTTTAATAAGCTAGGTACTTAAAAATGTAGTATCTGTAATTTTCTCCATATTTGATACTTTTTTATTGTATCGATTAGTTCAAGTATTAATTTCACATATTTCAATGTTTTCATAATACTATATTTGGGTGTTTTATTGGGTTATATATTAAAAAATAGCCCGTGTTTAAATTGTATAAGTGTGCAATATGTATGACTGAAATTTTACTAAAAATAATAAAAGAATATATATTCAATTCAGTTTTTAAATTGTGTAAGTGCGCAATACGCATGGCTAAAATTTTACAAGAAAGTAACAGAATATATATTCAATTCCATGAAATAATATATATATATATATACCTTATATT